GGTTCGGAGGCTCGATGTCGTACGAACGGGATTCAGTTCTAAAGTCGGAGTCATTTTGGACCATTTGGGACATTTTGGGAAACTTCCAGAACAAGTCAGACGAGTTGAAGGTTTTTTTTTCGCTCAGTTTGGACAGTTTTCAAGTGACTGGACTTTTTTATTTTTATGTCTTCACTCATTTGGGTTCAGTCCCGAGTCTTTTCTGGCAGGTTTGAAACTATTTCAGACGGTGTTTTGTTCTTTATGTGAAGTTTTGGACCATTTTTGAACGACTTTAAACAGCAGAACACATCCAAGGTGCTGCTGCACTTTGTCCAGCGTCGGCCTTCAGAGCTCTGAATCGGCCATTTTTAATTCATAACACATGTTCCACGACATCCACCTCGTTAGTTAGTAAAGGACACACAGCTGGACGGTTGTAAATGTGAAACTCTGTCTCGTCTGATTCGGATCAACTGTGTGAACTTGGGGATGTTTTTAGAAAACGAAACCCAGCAGCGGGTTTTAGGTGAAGCTTTAGCTCCAGCTGCAGATGGTGCTGTGACCCGGTTACCAGAACTCATGTAAAGCGACTGAGCGTGACGATGAACTCCACCTCTGACGCACGAACTCGTCCGTGACCACCTTCTTCACGTCTCCGAACTCGTCGTGCTTCTCCCTGCGGACGACAAACAGAACTCAACCAGGTGAACTCTCAGGACTCCCCGAGTGCCGCTGTTCCTGCTGCGAGTCCGGTCCTACCCGGGGTCCACGCGGAGCTTCTTCAGCGTGTTCCAGACGACGTCTACGGAGCAGAACAGAACCAGACGTTGGGCCACAGTGCTTTTATCAGACGGAAACGTTCTGCCGACGGCTTCTGGACTCACTTTCTCTGACGACGCCTCCCTTCATGAAGATCACGCTGAGGATCACGAACAGCAGGCCTCTCTTTGGGTCGGTGGGGCGGCTGCAGGAGACAGAACCGGCCCAGTTAATAGGACAACTGACACCCAGGAATCAGAATGAAACGGATCGGAGAAGTTCTGAGGTAAGCTTCAGGTACGTTGGATCTTTTTTTTTGTCACTTTGAACTGAATGTTTGGGTTTGGACCCGTTTCTGAGGCCTGTTGGTCAAACCTGCTGCACTTTTACTGTTTAAACTGTGATCCATCCCATAATACCAACGCTCACAGCTGACGAGACAATGAACTGGATCATTTCTGAGTGATTTTAGACAGTTTTCATGTTTTTTAGGCACTTTTTTTGTGATTTTTGGTCGTTTTTAACAAATCACGACCAGATTTTGAAGATTTTTTAAATTTTTTTAACAGGTTTTTGTTATTGAAGTTAAATTCTGAGTAATTCTGGACACGTTTTAGTCACTTTGGAAAAGTTTAATGGAGGTAAAACGGTCCTTCCATCGTCTAGAACTGGTTCTGACCAACCACCATCACACATGCTGACATGAGCCTGGAACGTTTACCCAGAATGCACTTTGTAAAGTTTCCTCTGGTGACTGATCAGAACCAGAACCACATCCAGGGTACCAGTGATTGTTTCTGTGACTCTATGAGACATCCCATAATACTGATGCTACCAGCTGGTTATAATGATCAGATTATGATTTTTAGTCATTTCCTACATGTTCTGAATGATTTTGGATGATTTTCAACTTGTTGTCGACACTTTATTTTGTAATTTTTAATCATTTTAACAACTTTATGACAAGTTTAGGATCAATTTAAACCAGTTGTTGATGATTAAGTCAAATTCAGAGTCATGTTTTAAATATTTAGGTTAATTTGGGACATTTTCTTGTCATTTTGGGAAACTTTTTAGGTAATCTGGATGAGCTGGAGGTATTTTGCCAACATTGGATGATTAATTAGTAATCTGGACAATTTTAAGGTGATTTTGGATTTTTTTTAGTCAGTTTGGGTTATTTTTTAAGGTTCTGAATAATTCTAGACAGGCTGTTGTAATTGTGGGCAGGTCTTGAGTCACTATGGAGAAGGTTTTTTTGCTTCTTGGACGATTTTTGTGTCTTTTGGATGAATTACGTGGAATTTTTGACATCTTTTGAATGATTCTGGACGATTTTCAAGTTTTTGCCCACATTTTTTTGTATTTTTTATTCATTTGAACAAATTTACGACAAGTTTAGAATAAATTTAAACCAGTTGTTGATCATTAAATCAAACTCTGAGTCATTTTGGACCATTTTTTAATGATTTTTGACAAACTAAAACAACACATGAACAGATTTAGTGTTCAGATTGCGACGTCTGGATGGATGTTAAACTGATTCGGTTGAAGTTTTTAACAAACTCAAATGTGGTTTTCAGCCTTGAAAATGTTTATCTCCTGATAAATCTGGACTTTACAGGCCTGGACCAGTATGAAGCTAAAGTCTATCAGATGTGTGTTGATGACACTCACGTGGTCGGGGAAGCGTCTCCACTCGTCTCCAGGTTGTTGACCAGAATGTACATGTGGTTCTTGGGGTCGATTTCAACCAGTTTGAGGCCGAACACCTGTCAAAGATGGTTAAGGTGCATCAGTCCGTCATTATAACGTCATGGTTCTCATACGTGATCCCGTGGGCGTGGACAGACCTGGTCCAGGGTCCGAGCTGCTCTCTTTATGATCTCTGGGTAGATGTTCCTGTGCTCCTTCACCACATGTTTCACCAGATCTGGAACGACAACGAGCAGACACACGTCGGTGTTTCCCAACCACGAGAGAAGGTGACACTCTTGTTTTTGTAAATTAAAAATGGTGGCCTGGTTTATAAATGTGATCTTCTGCTGTTTGGAATTTAATCACATGTTTAAAAAGTCTATTTCTGCACATCCCTACGTTGGAAGGTTGAACGGACACCACTTGTCAGCGTGAGGAACCGTAAAAACCAGAAGAATTTTAAGTTTTGTAACTTTCCAGTCGTCTTTTTAACTTATTTAACGTGATTTAGTTTTGGCTTCGGTGGAGAAAACTACTTAAAATGTGCTAAAAATCCTCACATTTCATTAAAAACAAACCATCTGCTTGTCTTCGATGCAACGTGCAGCCCAGACTGCAGCCAACAGTCGTCTGTAAAATGAGCTGCAGGCAGCGTTTCCACAGAGCAGAGAGGAGACGAGCACAGCAGCTGATTACAGCAAAACATCTCCAGCATGTGGAGTCACTGCTGTTTGCTCCAGTGTTGGTAACGTCTGAAGACACTAGACGTGCTGCTTCCTGGTTGTTTAATGCTGAAATTCAGCTTTGTCTCTCTGGTGTCCATCGTTCTAACTGGGTCGACCTCCTTCGTGTTGTTCTGGTTCCGTTATGTTGCAGAGAAACGTGAACACAGGGAAGACAGATGAGACGGGAGCAGAACGAGCTGCAGTTCAGAAGGTTAAGAACGTTCAAGAGACTGAAATCCATCTGACATCTGCTGTTCACTGACTAGAGGTTTGGGGTTTTCACAGCCCTCTTTACATCCTGCAGGCTTTCCTTCGGTGAACCTGTGCTGATCCGTGGGTTTACCTGCTCGACGGACAGGAACCTTCTTCTGGTCCTTCAGCAGGAAGTACTGCACCACCTCAGCGCTCTGTTGGACACACACAGGTGCATCAAAGACAAGAAAAGGCGGGTTTGTGGCGGCGCCGTGTGAACATCTCTGCTACCTTCTGGTCCACCTGAGCCTCCGTGACCTTCTCCAGGCCTCTCTGGACCTGAGACGTGCTCGGCTGGGTGAAGGCCACGTCGTCGTCCTCCTCCTGAGCCGCCGAGCCGCCGGTTTGCCTCTGAAAGAGAAACGCCAGCTTCAGTGATTCCCAAAGTCAGATCTTTAGCGCGTGGTCCAGAACTGGAGCTGCAGCGATTCATCAGTTATCAACGGTTGAGCTCATCTGCAGCTGTTCTCATCATCGGTTAATCAGTTTGTGTCACTTTCTAAGAAAAAACAGTCTGAATTCTGAGATTCCAGCTTCTTATATGTGGATGTTTTCTGGCTTCTTTCCTCTGCGACAGTAAACTGAACATCTCTGGACAAAACTGATCAACACTTCTCCGACTTTTCCAACATTTTAGAGACAAATCGATCCGTCCAGAACATAAATAACAGTTTACTGGACAGCGAAAACAATAATTAGCTGCATTCCTACATGTATTAAGTCACTGATATGACAGCGATGGAGGTCAAAGCCACATCTAGAACAACTTCAGAGAAGACTTGGTCCAGATCTGGTGGTTTCTGATGACCTGACGTGGTCTAGAGGAGTTTATTAAACTCTCAAACTGTGTTTTAAACCGTCTGCAGAACAGATTTTGCGACTAGAAGTGGTTTTTGACGGAGCCCTGGTCAGGATTTGTATGTGTTATAGTAACTAATAACAAAATAAAAGTTCCAGAACTTCGAAAGCTGGAATATTTATCATCTAAATGTTGTGTTTTTTTAATCTGGACCTGGTCTGACGTGGTCTTTACACAAATCCTCGACTGATAATCCAGACCCGATGTCACAGATCCAGGTGCAGAGGTCTTTGACTCGGACCTGGTCAGGATAGAAATGTGTTTAAACAAATAAAATAGGAGGTTTCAAAATAAATCTGTTCTTTTCAGGTTCTCTGGGATTCATCCAGACCAGGTTTTAATGTGTTTTTGATCTGGACCTGGTCTCATGTGGTCTGGAGGAGTTTACGCCTTCTTATCTGTCTAAAATCCACTTTCGCACATTATAAAGTGGGTGGTCGGTCCAACACTGCCACAGTAATGAATCTTGATCAGGCTGAAGGACTGAAGTGATGCTGGATGCTGGACAGACTTACTCTGGGCTGAGAGGCGCTCTGAGGGTTGGACGGCCGCTTTCTGCTCGACATGATGAACCACCGCCTCACAAACACACAGACGGAAGCAGGTCAGTCACACATGACATCGTTATTAATGTGGCTTTAAAGGGAAAAGACACACCGAGCCGAATATCAACCAAACAAACGGACGCGGAAGCTCCGAGCTGCACGTTAACGGTGAAGCGTCGGGTTAGCTTCAGCGGCTAATGCTAACCAGTCGCGCTAACTAGTCTGGTTAGTTAACCGGAGTCTGTGTGGTTAATCAGCTGTTAGTTAAGATGTCAACACTCACTCACCAGTCCGCAGAAAAACCAACACCGGGTTTAACCAACAGGTCGGTGAGAAAAATCCGCTTTTCTGAATTCAAACTCCAGTTTCCAAACTGTCAAATTCCCGCTAGGACGCCTGGTGATGACGTAGAATGTGCGCGACCCCGCTTCCGTTTGTTTTTTTTGTTTTTTTTAATTAACGGGAAAAACAAACAAAACAAAAAGTAAACTTTGAAAAAGAGAATAAAAATTCTGATTTAAAATGTGCAAATTATGAGATCAAATGTGAAAACTTTAACATCACGTCTAAATTACGAGTGAAAAAGTAAAAATTATCAAATGAAATGTCAAAATTAGAAATAAAACAAGATTCAAGATCAGCTTTATTTGTCACAGACACATTTATACACGGTGCAATGTGCAGTGAGATGTGTTTTGGATCAGCCTCCAGTTCCAATAAAAGAAAAAGAAAAAATAAGTTAAAAATAAGTGTTAGAATAGAATCATTTCAGAAAAGAATATTTTTTATTGGGGGAAATTTACAAAGAAGCATGTATACTTTAAGTATATATATATACACATGTATACAAACACATAAATAATGAAAGTAAAGCAAATGGAACACCCAACAATCAATAAACTTAGAAGATCAGTGTTGTGACAGAGTCCAGAGTTACAGAATCAAAACAACACTTTTAACTTATATTTCTCTGTTGTAATTTTAGTTATTTATGTATATTTATTTCTATTTTTGCACTGAGGCTGGGAGGATATGACAATAAACGAGTCTTGAGTCATGAAAAAAGAAAAACTATCAGCTAAAATGTCAAATTTACAAGATTAAAGATAATGAACTCAAAGTCATGATTAAAACTATGAAGCAAATATAATCTAAACAGTATGAATCAAAGCTTTAAAGCTTTAAAGTTACAGGTTAAAGCTAAATTGATTTTATTACATGAGTTAAGAATCAAAATAAGGAAATAAATGAAACTCATGAGATAAAATTCCAACTTATGGGATAAAAAAAAGAAAGAAATTATGGGGTTAAAAAAAGTTCAAACTTTTGCATAAAAGTGCAAATAAAATTTTTATTTTTTTTTTAAAGATAAATGGTGAAAATATCTGACACAAAGGTCAAATATGCAGGCTAAGAATGAAAATAAACAGAAGCATACCTCATAGGATAAAATTCCAACATGTGAGATTAGAAATATATAAATGATGAGGTTCAAAAAAACAGTTTTAAAACGGATAAAAGGTTAAAATATACGATAGTAAGGTCAAATTTATGGGTGAAGAATTCATATTAAGACATAAATAGAAGCCCGACTCATAGGATACAGTTCAAATTTGTGAGATTAAAATAATAATAATATTTACGAGGTCCAAAAACAAAAACAAAAACAAAACTAAAAAAACAACAGAAACAACAAAAACAAGTATACATCTGGCATAAAAGTGCAAAAAAAAAAGAGAGAAAAGATTAAAGGTGAAAATGTATGACACAAAAAGTCACATTTATTTAAAAGATTTAAAAGTCTACATTCTGACTTTTGGACTATTACATCTGGTTCTTTGGACATTTTAACATAACTTGACCTGTTTATCACCAGAGGTTTGACTTTAATGTGATGGTTTGGAGTTGGTCTCCCATAATTTAGACTTTTGTAGTTTTACTGACGCTCTGAGTTTGACGTCAAGATGATGATATTAAATATCAGAAGTTGTGACATTAAGGTCAAATGTATGAGTTAAAAGTCAAGATTTTGACCTTAAAAGTCGAATTTATGAGCTTAGAATCAAAACGCTGATATTAAAATACCCAACGTGTGACTTAGAGGTCAAATGTTTTAAGTTAAAAATCAGAGTTAAGACATAAAAGGTCACTTTTATCCATTTTAATATCAAAATGATGCCACTAGTCCTACTCACAAGCTGACAAAAAAACGTAGAATTGTGACATAAAAGTTCAAATATATGAAGTAAATTAAAGAAAAAAAAGAATTCAGGTTTAGATTTAAATGTCTTCACAAAGCGCGTGACTATAATAAATATATGATTATTATTTATCTGCTGACAGTTTGATCGATCCTGTGTTTTAGCTGCACAACCAACGGATGTCGCTGTTTCCGGTTTACAGTCAGTAGGTGTGGACAGAAGAACAGTCAGAAAGTTAGACAGACAGTCAGACAGTCAGTCAGACCGGTCGGTGTCTCGGTCCCTCTCCGGTTGTTTCCCCGGACATCAGGCGGTGTCTTCCCCGCGGACCGAGCGCTGCCCTCTGGCAGCTGAAGCGGACTGCTGCCGGCTCTGAGGCCGGTCATGCGGCTGCAGGATGGGGGAGAACGTCCGAGTGTCTCCGCTCAAGAACTTCGTGGCCGGAGGCTTCGGAGGCGCGTGTCTGCTGCTGGCAGGACACCCGCTGGACACCATCAAGGTGACGGACACACACGGACACACGGACACACACGGACACACGGACACACACGGACACACACGGACACACAAGTCTGGGTCCACTGAGCAGCAAAGTTTCTGCGGCTCTGCGTTCTCTAAAGGTTCTCTGGAGGTTCCCTTAAGGTTCCCGTGAATCAGTAACGTAGAGGAGCTGCAGGGATTATTGAGAAATCAGCTTAAAAAGTCACAGAGGCCGACAGGAGACAGGAGCAGGCTGTAGGAAGGCTCAGCAAGAGCAGAAACCTGCTTATTGGAAGTAAATCATGTGTTGTTATGATTTAATATGTCAAAGTGATCCGTTGAAATGTCCACACTGCTAAATAAAAAGTCTACATTACTATAAAAAGTCACATTTATGACTTAAAATCAGAATTCAAATCCCAAAAGTTCAAAGTAGAAGATAAAAAAAAATCCAAATTTAAACAGAAATAGTCTCAGTTCAAAGTTATAAAGTAAAAATCACGAGATAAAAAACAACAATTACTTGATAAAATGTCCAAATGATGAGATGAAAAGTAAAATTTATGACTCAAAAGTAAAATGAACACGTTGGTATGTTCTGATTATCGGGTAAAACCAAAGAATTCTGAGATCAGAGGTCAAAATTAGAAGATAAAACACTGACATTGGCTCATAAGTGGGTAATTCTGTTCTAATATTGAAATTATACAATAAAAGGTAAAAAATGTATAAGATAAAATGTCCAAGTCTGAGTTATGACACAAAGGCTGAATTATTAATTAGAAATTAATAATCATGACAGAACAGGCGACAGTTTTGAATTAAAGTCCAGATTACAAGACAAAAAGTCGAAATAATCACACAAAAAAGGCAAATTTACGAGTTAAAAAAGTGGTCACGAAATAAAAGGTCAAACGTCTGATTTCATATACCATATGAAAAACTCTGAATTAAGACAGAAAAGTCTGAATTACAAGTTCAAGAGTAAAAATCAGTGAGTTAAAATGTCCAAACCTATAATCAGGTCATGATCATGAAATCGTAAAAGGCAGAAATTATGAGTTAAAGTAAAGATTATGAGATAAAAAGTCTAAATAATCACGTGAAAATTAAAAATTTTGAGCTAAAAAATTGAGATTATTCAATTAAAAAGTCAGAATTAGGAAATAAAAGGTGGAATTTATGAGTTTTTATGACGTTAAACGATCAAAATAGTCTGAATTATGAACGACAAAGTCGTTGGTCATGTCTTATCAGAGACAAAGTGTTGTTTTTAATCTACTTCAGTGTCTGTCGGGGTTAATAAATGGCAGAATGAGCCTTAGATGGTGGTTTTATCTCAGGGACAACATGTGATCTTCTCTAACCGTCACTCTGTTATCAGGCAGCAGCAGGTTTTACTCCTCCTCCTCCTCCTCCTCCTCCTCCTTCAGATTCATCCTCAGCTCAGCGCTCAGCTGGACGTCTGACTTTAATCGGTTTTAATTCAAACTGTGTTTCAGGTGAGACTGCAGACGCAACCCAAAGCTGCTCAGTATGCTCTGTACACGGGGACGTACGACTGCTTCAGAAAGACCGTTTCTAAGGAGGTAAACTCACAGAAACACACAGAAACACACAGAAACAAACAGAAACACAGACAGACAGAAGGTGAGGCCTTTAACCCCAAGAACACCAAACCTACCATCAAGCATGGAGGTGGCAGCATCATGCTCTGGTTCTGTTCTGCTGCCAGTGGACCTGGAGCTTTACACAAAGTCAATGGAACCATGAAGAAGGAGGATCACCTCCACGTTGTTCAGGAGAACCTGAAACCATCAGCAGAAGGTTGATCTTGGACACAGTTGGATGTTCCAACCAGACAATGAGCCCAAACACACATCAAAGTGGTGAAGAAATGGTTCCATCAGGCTGGAATGAAGGTTCTAGACTGGTCTCCCCAAAGTCCTGACTGGAACCATCCAGAACCTGTGGACTGATGAAGAAACAAGTCTGAGTCAGAAAGACGACAAGTTTAGTTGAACTGCAGCGGTTCTGTCCAGAGGAGTCAGAGATGGACCAGAAGCTGGTGGACGGAACCAGAAGAACACGCGGTCTTTACAAGCGGTGAGGGAAACTCCTGGTTGTGGATCTCTAACCGTAGATGGTGTTTCTCTGTCTGCAGGGCATCCTGGGTCTCTATAAGGGGATGGGCGCTCCTCTGGCCGGCGTCGCTCCCATGATGGCCATCAGCTTCTTCGGCTTCGGTTTGGGGAAACAGCTGCAGCAGACGGATCCTGGAAAACCGCTGACGTCAGTAACACTAAAAAGTCTAGATTATGGGTGAACAACTCCAAAGCATCACATGAAAGTCAAACCTCTGGTGATGAACAGTTCAAGTTATGTTAAAACATCCAAATAGGGAGATGGTGGATAGGGAAATCCACACCAGTCCAAAGGTCCAATATGTGAGACAAAAGCACACAAATTATGACACAAAGCTCCAAACTGTGGCATCAAAGTCCAACTTAAGAGTTAAAAAGTCCCAAACAAGACAGAAAATGTCCCAATCATGAGCTAGAAAGTCGACATTTCCGACATAGAACTTCAACTCTTGAGATGAAAAGTACAAATTATATCATAAAAGTCAAAATTATGGGTTAAAAAGTCAGAATGTTGAAAGAAAAGAATCAGAAGGGAAAAAGTCAAACTTGTGATCTAAACCTCAACCCTTTGAGATTAACAGTCAAAATTATTGCATAATTATGGCATAAAAATCCAATTTATTTGATTAAAAAAAGTTCAATTTCTAATTTTACGTCTTAATTATGAGTTAAGAAGTTTGCATTATGATTTAAAAGTCCATGTAATAATAGAAAATATCCAAGTTGTGAGTTAAAAACCACAACTTATGAGTTCAAAACACCAAATAATGAGTTTAAAGGTCCAGATGATCAGATGAAACATCTCATACATGATTAAAAGAGATTAAAGGTCCCAATTATGAGTTTAAAATTCACAAAAAAATCAGAATTATGACAAAAAATCAAACCAAGGAGATAAAAAACAACCACATTTTTAGTTAAGAGTCAGACTGATGAGAAGAAATGAGGATTTAACATGTTTGCAAGGAACCTTTTTGACTTTTTATGGGTTTTTTTGCACAATGTATGACGTGCTTGACATAAAGATATAACCAGATATAATACTGGATTCATATTTACTGTGAACTGATATAAAATTATAATAATATATTTACTGTAACTGTGATAATAAGACAAAACAACAGGTTTGTATCTACTGCTGTCTGAACCTGATTTTAACCCTCAGACGTCCTTAAATCTCCTCCAGCAGGACTCGGTCCTCACACAGACACCAGGACAGCAGCTAAAGCCGTCCCACAGACCCGCCTTGTTGTTGTTGTCGTCGTTGTAATACCTGGAAAACTCGGTTCTAAATATAACCGGGTTGCCATTGGCGTGTTGGGACCACGTCCCCCCTCGGCCTCCGCTCGGGTTACTGCTGCTGCTGCTGCTGCACATCTACTGTACATGTGAAGGATATTTAGAGTCCAGACCGGAGCTCAGAGGCTGCAGGACTCTGGCCGACCCGGAATCTGTTCACCAGCACTGAGCTGAGACCTGCACGGAAAGAGTCCAAACGATCACAGAAAGCATTCCCCATATGAAGTCCAAATGGTGCTAAAAAAGTCTGAATTATGAGGTGAACGTCCAAAGTATTCCATTAAAATACCAGATTTTATCATAAAAGTCCAAATTGTGAGACATAAAAGTCAAATGTCAGATTAAACTGTTTAAATTACGAGCCATGAAGTCTGAATGAGGACATGAAAAGTCCAGATTACAACATAAAAGTCCAAATGATGTTAAAAAAAAAAGTCCAAATTAAACATAAAATGTCCAAATTATTTTGACTTCCAGCGTATGAGTTAAAAAGTCGTATTTCTGAGTTAGAGCGAAATTATCACGTCATGTCGAAGTCGTGGGTTAGGGGACGCCAACACGTCTCCTGTTTATTGTAGCGTCGCTCTGAGTTAGAATATAAAGAGAAAAGTGATTTAAACGAGCTTTTATCGTGTTTCCTTCAGACACACTCAGATCTTCCTGTCGGGATGTCTGGCTGGAGTCTTCACCACCGTCATCGTGGCTCCAGGAGAAAGAATCAAATGTTTGCTGCAGGTAAGAAGCAAATCTGCATCTTTTAATCCATCATTATTTTCTTAATAATCAGTTTCCTCCAGTGTTTGGTTTTTAAATGCTCAGAAAATAGTGATAAATGTAAAAATTATGACATAAAAATTCAAATTATGAGTTAAAAAGTGCAGAATATGACAGAAATAGTCCAATATACGAGTTAATAAAGCCTCATGATGATATAGAAAGTCCAAAGTGTTCTATAAAAAGTCACATTTATCAGTTGTAAAGTCCAGATTGTGAAAAAAGTGAGAAATCTGACATAAGATTTGATATTATGAGGTAAAGAAAAAAGGGGAAAAAAAGTCCAGTAAAAAAAATCCAAATTCTGAGTTTTAAAGTCTGAATTATGAGTTGAAAAGTCTGAATGTGAGCATGTGATGTGTCTTTTTATACAGTGCATGTAAACTTGTGGTTGTATGTAAAACGTGTCCATGCGTTCAGCTTCCTGCTAAGAGCTGAACGTTCAGATCTGACAGCATCTGCAGGAGTCTCTTCTCTCTGAAACCTTATAGTCAGTCAGCTGCTGCAGCGCCTCCATCTGCAAGTTTAAATATACAGCAGGTGACAAATGAAAGGATCAGACGAGACAAAGGATTTTTGAGTGTCTGTTGGAAGGCGAAAGTGATTTAATCCTGAGTTTGATCCTGAGTTTGATCCTGTGAACCTACATATTTACTAGTGGGTTTAAAAGGTATTTTATCTTTACAAAAAACACCCAAACTGCACCATTTATCAAACTGTAAAAACAACAAGAATCATTAGATTTTTAATTTTTGTTACAGTTCAGACGGTTAAAATGTCCAACTTTACATCATAAATCAGCAGGTTTACATCAGAAAGAGACGTGTTTACATCCAGATATGAAGATCAGATCAGAGGGCCGAACTACAATCTCCATGGTAACTGATCCTGCGGAGCTAGGTCTCCATGGTAACTGATATTGTGGAGCTAGGTCTCCATGGTAACTGATGCTGTGGAGCCAGGTCTCCATGGTAACTGATATTGTGG